GTTTGAATTCCCAAAAAAAATGCAGTAGGCTTCTTGGAAAAGCTTGAGAAAGTTAACGGAAAGCTAACGGAGAAATGGACAGAAGTGACGGACGTAACAGCCCAACAAACGAAAGTTACAAAAAAGGGCTATTTTCTTCCATTCTTATAGGTTAGGGGCTAAAACCGTTATGTTATAAGGTGAGGGGCCAAAACCGTCCAACTTATCAAGGTAAGGGGCTATTCTTAGGCTTTTGCCTAGATTTGAAGGGTCAATTAAGCATGAAAAATGTGTTAGGCACCTCACAACTTTCATATCACATACTTTAATTTTGAGAAATTTTCAATTTTATCAATAATAATTACCTAGGAAAATAAACACAAAAAAACTTAAATTAAAACACCTCATTATCTTTTCCCGTTTCTATTTTTTGTTTTCTTTTTTTTTTGCCTTTTTTTTTTTATTCTTTTTCCTGCACTTTTTCTCTTTTTTGTTTCTGTTTTTTTCCTAATGCATTTCAAAAGAATAGCAAACCCAAGAAAAAATTCGGTTCATCATTCCAGATTACCGGAGCACAAACTAACTCATAGTACCCATATCCTCACCAAAGCAGCAATTTCTAAATGATAGCCAAGTTCAGGGGAACAAAAAAAACAGTGATTAAACTTAAACTGATGGTAATTGGTATTGGTTTTGTTAAATTACTCTATCAAATAAAAAGAAAACAGCCCTGGAACTAGGCGACGAGCAGAACAGGAGACAAAAAAATAAAGGAAGAAAATATGTATGCAACAAGAAAACACCCAACAAAGATTTTCTCAAGATTATTTATGGACAAACCGTGTAAAGAGCAAACCATGCAAAGAACCATATTAATATAGCAACCAAGAAACAAAAGAAACGAAGAAAAAAAAAACAGAAACAGAAAATTGAGATTCAAGATCCAAATTCTTCCATATTCTCAGAGATAAAACACACTTGAAATGGAAAAAAGCCAATTTATTTGTTTGCTGCAAACTTTAAAATACAGATTTCTTCTTTCCTTTGCTTCCCACTCTCTCTGCCGACTCTCGGATTTCTTCCCCTTCTCCCTCAAATTTCTGAATGCCCCCTCTAAAGCC